TAGAACCCTAGAATTAGATGGATGCAGTAAAGGCTTTTAAAAATGTTATGTTATACTAAGGATGGGCAAAACATCAAGGAAATAAAGAGAGAGAAAAAAAGGATCCCTTTATACTTTAAGCTATTTATAAGCCATTCCACAACTTCAGTTCTTTCCATATGACAACCTTAATTCTCTGACCTTAATTAAATCAATATTAGAGTAATTTTCTACAGGAATTAACATTGTTTGTTTATTTATTCACTATCATAAACATTATACCTACTCTTGTTGTGTGGCTTTGGGAAGAAATGTGGGAGATTTCTGAGGGATGACGGCTTATTGTTTAACACAATTATTCATCTAGTCTTGACAGCCTATATGGAAGAATCTACTTCTTCTCTCCCAATAATTACTTAAGTCCCAAACCACCTTTGAAAAAAAAATGTCAATTTTTTCCTGGGGAATTTGAAGTATACTTCAGTTAAATAATAAAGGTAGAAGTAATGTATGCACACCCTCAATGCATTGGTTTGGATGTTAATAAATAATTAGGGGTCAGGGAACAAAGTAAAATAAACCAATGTTTCAGCCACCATGCTTTACTCTGTTTGAAAAGCTCACACTGCAAAGATGAACTGTGAATAATGTCATTTGACAGGACATCCACTCAGATGCACAATTTTGAACACTGAAGTCTTTAATATCATCAAGCAAAAGACCAGCTCAAATCCAGATTAGATGCTGTGAAAATATGTGGACTGTTTGACTGTTCATATTAAATGGGTTAGGGAGAGTTTCAATCCAGTTTCAAATGGAGAAAAGTACATATTGGAGGGAAAGGAGGAGTGAGCGTGCAACAACTGGCACTTCTTTCTGCCTCCCTTGTTGACAGTCTCAGCTGAGAGGCTGAAATAGTCACAAAGCCGAATCTGCTGCCTTACACAGGCACCTACTACATGCTCAAAACTTTTGCCAATATAAGATGTTGGTTAATTAGTGCTGAGATTTTCACAATATTTTTATTCCAACACAAACTCTGGTCCAGGTGCAGAGATGCTGATCAAAAAAAGAGTGTTTTTGTCAAAAGGCCTATTTTATTATGGGATCTTGCACAATCTATACTGACAGCATTTTGTTGCGATGGTATAGCCTACACCTGCACTTACAGAGTGCATCGAGACAAGCACGCATGTGCCTGTTGTGGCATCTCAAACCAGTTACCTGGATTTCCAGGTATCAAAAAAAGAAACACTCTGGAGAAAAGTGGCGCAGGACACGGTTCCCCACCATGCCCTGAGGCAAACCGGGGCTTGGACCTCCAGAGATGCTCTGGCATCCATCCAGAGCATCTCTATGGTGCCCCCTGCTGCCCTAGCACGCTGCATTCGTGTGTGGAGCAAGCAGGAGCAGTGCAAGGCGGTGTGACCCGGGTGCTGTCTCTGGTAAGTAGGAACTGGGGGGGGGGGGTTTGGGCAGAGGTGGGGCTGTGGATGTGTGGGGGGACTGTGGGCTGGGGGTTGTGTGGTGGTGGGGCCAGTTGCAGGGCGTGGATCCCCGCAGGCCTTGAGCCCCCCCTCCCCCCCACCCCCCACATGTAGCAGCAGTGGCCGTCCGGGCGCTCAGGGCCTGCTGCTATTGGAGCCCCCCTGCAACACAGCACGGCCCTGGCTGCCTCAGACCCAGCACCGCCTGTGCTGCTTGTCGTGGGTCCGGCCCAGCTCAGCACGGAGCTATGCGCCTTCAGGCAGCCCCGGGCCACTCGGGCTGTCACCCGGCTCTACTCGGAAGTACACTATTTTGGGTATTTTAATGAGACAATTTGGGTTTCTTATCAGACAATTTGCAAGTTTTAAACACGGAACACCAGGATGTCTGCTGATGAGACAAGTGGCAAGACTGGGGCAGAGGAGCCTGACCAGGGCCAGCACTGGAGACCCAGCTGGAGGGAGATGACCTTTTGGTCATTTGGGGCCAAGAGGACACACTTTGACAGTTCAAAGCAGGCCATCACAAGAAGCACATCTTCTGGGTGATAGCTGCCCAGATGGCAGAGCAGGGGCATCCCATCCAGGTCTGGCAAGCATGCAGCCATAGGGCCACAGGTCCAAGGGGGCAGATGCTATTGCAGGTGGTAGCAGGTCACAGCCAGGCAGCAGCCCCCATTCCAGTGGGTAGAGGGTGCAGGAGGCCCTCTAGGTTAGGGCTGCCTCAGCAGTCCAGCTGGCACAAGGGGCGACTGTCCCCAGATACC